GTCGTCGCAGGTCATCTTCTCCACCTCGGCCGCAGTCGGGTACGAGGTGACCGTTGCGAGAGATGCCAAGTCGCTCAACCTCAGCTCGTCGCTACCCGTCATCGGCGGCCAGGCGCAGGTCCCGCAGCCCGGCAAGGTCGCCGACCACCAGCAGAGCGTGGGCGCCAAGGACGGCCATCATCCGGCGCAGCCGAAGGGCGTCTTCTCCAAGGCGATACGGCTCAAGGTCGAGGACACGGCCGCGTTGTGGAATACCCCGAGGCTTCCGGGCTGGGATGACCTCAACATTGACCGCCTCAAGAGCCGCGCGAAAAAGGACCAGCCCGTAGAGAGCGTCGTCTCCCAGGACAGGCAGACTGACGAAAAGCCCGAAATCAAGCAGAAGAAAGTGCACCTGGTGGTCCTCACCCATGGCCTGCACAGCAACCTGGGCGCGGATATGCTATACCTCAAAGAGAGCATTGACCAGACGGTAGCACAAGCAAAGATTGATGCCAAGGTCCGGCGTGCCAAGGAGCGCGCCGACAAGACGGACAAGGGAGATAACAAGGCCCAAGATGATAGCCCTGCAGAAGACGACGGGGACGACGAAGAGGTCATTGTGCGTGGCTTCTCGGGCAACGCGACAAAGACCGAAAGGGGTATCAAGTACTTGGGTAAGAGACTGGCTAGGTACATCCTGTCCATGTCGTACCCCGACCAGCCATTCCTGCCCTCAAAGAAGGGACACGCAGAGTCCGCCGTCTCTGCCGTCTTCAACAAGCCAGATTCAGACAGCAGCAAGGCGGCCCACAAGCACAGCACGATACACGAAAAGGAGTCGGACGAGAAGCGTCCGTTCAAGATTACCAGCATCAGTTTCATTGGACATTCCCTTGGGGGCCTGATTCAGACATACGCCGTTGCATACATACAAAAACACTCGCCCGAATTCTTCACCATTATCAAACCAATCAACTTTGTCGCCCTCGCCACGCCCTTTCTCGGCCTCAGCAACGAGAACCCTCTGTACGTCAAGTTCGCCCTCGATTTTGGCCTGGTCGGCAGGACGGGTCAGGACCTCGGTCTCACATGGCGAGCGCCCACCATTGCGAGGAGCGGGTGGGGAGCCATTGTCAGCAACCTGGGCGAGAGCGCACACAAGAGGGTCATGGGCGAAGTGCAGCCCGAGTCGAAACCTTTGCTGCGGATTCTACCGACGGGCCCTGCGCATACGGCGCTCAAGAAGTTCCGCAACCGCACTGTCTACTCCAACGTGGTCAACGACGGCATCGTGCCGCTGAGGACGAGTTGTCTCTTGTTCCTGGATTGGCAAGGACTGGGACGCGTGGAAAAGGCGCGGCGAGAGGCTGGCTTGGTTGAGACGTTGGTTGGGGCCGGCTGGGCTGAGTTGACAGGCGGCAGTTTGGCACCGACACCGAGGAGATCTAGCGCATTTCTGCCACCGGACGAGGGAGATGTGTCGGACGACCACTCTGGGAATATCACGCCTACGGCACCGACGGATGCTGTTGAAGTACCGCAGCCACCGCAGAATGCCATGGTCGAAGATGACCGAGCAAGTCTGCGGTCGGTGCCCACACCGTTCAACGAGAGCGGCCCCGAGGGCGCCAAGGATACAAACAGCGGCCCCTTTGCCGGCTTCTTCTCCCTGTTCAAAGGCAGCGAGCAGACGCAGGCCAAGACACAATCCAAGACGCCCAGCTTGTCCAACAAGCAAACCAAGATTTACAAGCGCAGCCAGACGATCAACTTTGACGAGATCCCGCAGTCCTCGGGCACAAAGGTCACGGCGGGCCACGAGCTGGAGCGGGACCAACAACACGTCGCGCCGCCGAGGACGAGTTTCTTCGAGTCTGCGCACGACCTGATCAACCCCAAGATCCCGACGACGGAGTACATCATTGATCCCTCCAAGCGGCCCAGAGCAATCTTCCATGACCGCGTGTACCACCCGAGTGACATACCGCCTCCCCCGCTGAAGAAGAAGCCCGCCGGATCGCTGGCGTCTCGGAGAAGCACGTTCCGAAGGGCTGCCTCGACGGGGTCCGGCGGTTCGAGGACCAGCACGGACTCGTCGCCACACCCGTCGCAGCGCTTCTCGCACGAGGGTACGATGGATTCCACGCGGGACTACGACGACACGATCAACACGAACCCCGACAAAGGCCCCGACGAAGAGATTGACGGGTCGCAGATGCGGGTCGAGGAGAAGATTGCCCGGGCCTACCACCGCGGTCTGGCGTGGCGCAAGGTGTTGGTGAAGCTGGAACCCGACGCGCACAACAACATCATCGTGCGTAGGATGTTTGCCAACGCCTACGGCTGGCCTGTTGTGAAGCACCTGGTCGACGCACACTTTAGCGACTCTGCCACGGCGAGAACGCGCGACGAGGACGAGGGGTCCGGCGAGCTTGCGCTGGACATGGGACAAGCGCCGAATCAGTACGGCGACGAGGTCAGGGACAGCGGTGTCGGGTCGACGGGCGGCGACGGATCCGACGAGAGGCCGATTGCGGGCATGCTCTCTCCCAATTCGCAGCGGGAAGCCGCAGACCGGGTGCCGGATATGCAGGCGCCACCGAAACGGCGCTCGTCCTCACGCAGCTCGTCGGCCAGCCCACCTAGGATCACGCGGGCGACGAGGCCGCAGCGGCCCGAGAGGGTTGACTCGATGACGTGGAGCGATCGAGACTGGGCGGATGACAGCGATGATAGTGAGACGACGGCGACGACGGCGAGCGTCAAGAGTCCTGTGGTGGCGGAGTTCAAGGATAAGGAGGGGGGTAACCGGTCGTCGACGCCTCTGGGTGGGTGGAATTGGACGGAGAAGATTGTGGGAAGGGGGGGATCGAGCCGCAAGACGTCGCCCAAGCCGGAGACTCAGGCTGATGGTAAAGCTGTCAAGGGTGATATCGATGCTGTTGAGGCTGTTGAGGCTGTCAAGTCCCCGATCAAGGCTGGCGACAAGGCCGATATCAAGGCCGATACCAAGGCTGATGCTCAAGCTGATGCCAAAGCCGGTATCGAGGCTGACGTCAAGACAGAAGCCGTCAAGAGCGACGATGTCAAGAGCATTGACAGCGGCGTCGATTGATGAGGGGAGGCGAAGAGCGGTGGTGTGCACATGAGAAATACCTACATTACATACATGCTTTTAATCGATGAGATCACGTTTTGATGACTTGTATGACCATGAGACATTACTGGATGAGGCGGCAGATATCGTGGGTGTGTTGAGTGTAGTATCAACTGTCGGGCAACACTGCGGTGTCGTTGCGACGCACTAGTAGGGTACATGGCTACCCACTCAGAGGTCACTGAGAGACATGTATCCGGCTATCAGTAGATAGGAGCTGGGATCCTTGCAACATCCCGCTTGCGTCATCGGAGAGTGGAAACTCACTTACAAACATCTTCTCACTTACAAACTCGGTCCCAAACTCTCGAGCTACGAGAAATCAAACATACTTATTAATCATGTCAATGAGACCGCCGTCATTAAGACTCCTCAATGGAGCCGCACGGATTTCTCGTAGAGGTTTCTCAACCTCTTCCGTGAGAACCGCCGACTTCACCCACATAGTGAGTTTCCCGAACCTATCTCAACGTTTCCCGACATCTCAACCTCACATCACCCAATTTCAAACACCAAAACACCAAAACACTAACACACCCAGGTCATCGGCGGCGGCGCAGTAGGCCTCGCAACATCCCACCGCCTCGCAACCCGCCCAGACACCACAACCTTGTTATTGGAACGCCACACCGCCGTCGGGACCGAAACGTCCTCCCGCAACAGCGAGGTCATCCACGCGGGGATATACTACCCGCCAAACACCCTCAAAACGGCCCTCTGCGTCCGCGGGAAACACCTCTTGTATGACTTTTGCGCGAAGCATCACGTCGGGCACGCCAATACTGGCAAATGGATCGTCGCGCAGAACGATGTCCAGCGGGAGGCGCTGCAGCGCGTGCATGATTTCTGTACGAACGAAATTGGCGTCCCTGTGAGGTGGGTAGGCGAGGAGGAGGCGAGGAGGGAGGAACCCGAGGTACGGGCGCTCGCTGGCGTGCTGGAGAGTCCGACGACGGGGATCGTTGATTCACATGGGCTGATGGTCGCGTTGAACGGGTTATTCGAGGATGCGGGGGGCGTCGTCGCCTTGAATTCCCACGTTGTGGGCGTGCGTCCCCTGGGAGAGAAAGGAAGCCAGGGGTGGGAGGTCAGCGTGCGCGATCCGTCGACGGGGGAGACGAGCGCCGTCACGGCGGAGGTCCTCGTCAACGCTGCCGGGTTAGGCGCAGTGGACGTGCACAACATGATTGTGCCCCCGTCCCAACGGAGGGAAATGTTTTACGCAAAGGGAAACTACTTCTCCTACTCTGGCGGCAGCAAACCCGCCCCCAAAGTAAAGAGACTCATCTACCCGGCCCCCGAACCCGGCGCCGGCGGACTGGGAACGCACCTGACGCTCGACCTCGCGGGCCGGGTGCGCTTCGGGCCGGACGTGGAGTGGGTCGATTCGCCCGACAACCTGGCCGTCAACTCCGCGCGGCTGCCCGAGGCCGTGGAGGCGATTAAAAAGTACTTACCCGGTCTCGATGCCGGTGCGCTGGTGCCGGATTACGCGGGGATACGGCCCAAGCTGGGGCGGAAGCAGGCCGTTGCCGACGGCAGCGGGTTCCACGACTTTATCGTCCGCAATGAGGACGGGTACGAGGGGTGGGTGAACCTGCTGGGCATCGAGAGTCCCGGCCTGACGAGCTGTTTGGCGATTGCGGAGCGGGTGGATGAGATTATTTACGGGTGATGGCACGATGGCGCGATGTCGTGGACGTAGTAGGCAAAGTGTGATATGGCTGTTCATTCTGTGTCTCCGACGCAGATCCAAACCGAAACGCTACAATATCCTATGCTCTGCGAGGCCATGTATTACACACGGAAAGAAACCAATACCCGGACCAGAGCGCATTACACACGGTCCTACCGCATGTTACAGTAAACACCAAAATGACGCTGCAGACTTTTCATAGAGAATGCGTGTGTAGATGTCGTCCCTCCCCAAATCATAAATCATGCAAAACTCCGCGACGCCGTTACCCCCGGGGCAGCTGTGTCATTTTCGGCTGTACAGTCAATCCAACCATTCCAAACGCCGGCAAAGGATACGTTAGACTTCATACTACCGCAACGTCAAGCTGGGCTGGAACTTGCGGCCTTGAACGTCGACGTGGAACTCGTAGATGCCGTTTTCCGCACCAACGTACCTAATCGGTTAGCTTTACTCCGTATCACGTCAAAAGACAACTCACAAGACTCTGCCATCCTCGCTCCACGAGATCCCTGCCGTGTTGTCGGGCTCGGGAGGTGCTTCGTGAACGCCATGCTCGGCCATTCGCTGCTCGGCCCGTCGGCGCAGGAATTGGTTGCGCTCTACTTGCCGCAGCAGGTCGTGGTCGCGCTCCATCTCACGCATGTTGACGCTGTTGAGGAGCGGCAGGATTTCCCTATTGCGGTCCTGGACGGCTTGCCGGAGATCCTGGATGTTGCTCTCAAACGACATGGTGTAGAGCGCTTCCAGGTCTGCCCAGCCGCTGCCTGCCGGTGTCAGACTGCGCAGACCGCTTGACCCCCCACGTTGTGTCGTCGCCAACGCTTCACTCGGGTGTGTGCTTGCCGGACGTCGCGGTGGGTGAGGAGCCGCCAGACCGAGGTCTCGATCAGAGCTGGACTGCAAGTCCATCATGCTGTCCCGGCCCGAGTTGGACTGCAGAATGAGACGCTGAGCCGTACGTATGCGTTCCTGCGCCCGCTCTCTCGAGTCACGAATGTTGCCTAGGAGGTCTCCAATAGCCCTGGACACATTTTGATTCGAGTCATTACTGGGTTCGCCCGCCTCATGGTCCAGACCCCGGCGCGCCGCGATTCTCTGTGCCCTCTGCGCTTGAATGTCCCACTGCGTATTCAGCCGTGGGCGTGCCATTGTTTCGGGGTCGATACGGGCACCTCTCCCACCCATGGGAGGCATGCCGCCAAAGAACTGCGGCGATGATTGCTGAGACGTCTGCTCGGCCATTCGCGCTGCGATTCGGTCCCTCTGCTCTCTCCGTCGACGGTCCTCCTGCAGAGCCTCAAGCACCCGCGTCTCGTCAGGCGTGAGTGCTAGGTGCTGACGCCCTGCACCGTCGAGTCGCCGCCGCCGACTTTCGCTGGCCTCTGGCAGGATGGACGACAGAGTATCGTTCGGTTCGCCGCGACCCTCCAGTAGCCGCGGGTCAATCGTGGCACGATCCAGGACGGGGATTTGGTCGTACTCGTCGGTGGCGCTGATGTCCAGGATTTGACGTTGCACAAACCCGCTCCTGAGATCTGCGATACCAACGTGACCGCGGTCTTCGGTCCAAGCCAGGAGGTCATACGGTCCAGGGCAAAAAGCCATGTCGCGGACCGCGCCCGACCCCGCCATCGGCCGTGACGACGTAAAGGACGTCAGCAGTGGGTCGGCAACGTCCGGGTCAGTCAGGCTCGCAACGTCAAACACTGAAATGGTGCCGTACTGGGTCCCGACAGCAAGATATGCCCCCGTGTTGGAAAAACATGCCGCGAAACTTCCTCTACTATCTGAGCTGTCATCTCGACGCTGGCTCTTGAGCAAAATCTTGCCACACAGCTCCCAGCGGTACTCCACCTTGTCGTCGTTCCGGAACGGGCCGTTCTCATCGATTGGCGCCTCGGTGCGATGGTGAATGTATAAGTAAGGGTCGTCGAGGATTGCGCACAAGAGGCGACCATCGGGCGAGATGATGGCTCGATTGACATAGTCGGGATACGTCACTATATCCAGAGGCTCGACCTTGTCCTGGTTATCAAAGTCGCGCAAGCCGACCAGGACGACCGTCTTGTCATTGTTTGCCAGCACGGCGGCGGACTCTGTGTAGGCTCCGTGATGCATGGGGCCGGCTGCTGGTGGAAACCACATGGTGATGCAGTTGACGCGGTCGCGCGCGAGCTTTTGGCTCTTGGCAATCACGCTCTTGTCGAGCCTGCTACTCATATTCAGCCGCCGCGATTGGCTGAGGAGTCCAAAGACGGTATCTTGCGGTCGAGGGGATTCGGAGTCGGTGCCCATACCGAGGGGTAACCTCGCGTCGGGTTCCAAGTTGAGTTGCAAATCGAGGTTGTTATCGTCGTCGCTAGTGCTGTCCATCTGTATCGCCGTAAACTCGCCCGTCTCTCCTCCGCAACACACCCAGCCGTTCTCAGCGACTAGACATCGCGGCGAAAAGGAGAGGAACTTGACCGTCTCGCACTCCTTGGTCGTGGTGTTGAGCCGCTGGACATGGTTGCTGCCGGCGCCCCCGGGGAAGTAGACTAGGTTCCGTTTCTCGGCGCTGATGAGCGATCGTAGCTGCCAGTGTCTACACGAAGTCAGTACTCGATGTGGTGCGCGCGTGGAAGTAGACGACGGAGACGCACTGAGATCGGACAGGGATGCGGTAGTGTTTCCGCGGCTTCTTGGAGATCAAGTCGTTTGTCGGATAGTATCTGCAGCAGTCAGTTCAGCATGGTCGAAACACTTGTATTGAAAAACATACGAGACGCCATCTTTCACAGCCATGATGGCTTATGGAGTGGCCAGAGGGTTCGTCCGTCGGAAAGTAAACATGTAGGTGCCGAGGCACGCGTATCGGAGCAGAGTCGCCAGTGCAATCAATCTCACCCGCGTGCTGAGCGATGACAGTGACGACAGGGCGGTGAATACACAGCGACCGATGAAGCCGTGGGATGATTCGGGGTGTCGGATGTTTGGGGACGATGCGATGTGAATTGCGCGAGACGAGAGGCAACTTCCCGCATGACGTCCGTGTATGGCAGGAGGGGCCCGTTCTGCTTTTCGCCTTCGTCCTGGTTGGCTGGCGCTCTGCCTACGAATACAGTGGTAAGCTACCCGTGGAGTGGGTGAAGAGGCGACCAGGGAGTACCTCTGCAGCACGTACCCTGGGCCTGTGCCTCGGGACGGGAGCTTGGGCTGCTGCTTACCCAACGAGGCACTTTGCTTACCTCTTAGAGTCTTCTACCTCACCTAGGCACCTTAGGCAAGATACTAGACAAGTACCTTATTAGCAGGTAGTCCGGGGTCTAGACAGACGTCCAATCCAATTGTTGGTTAATTCTCTTAGCTAAAAGACGCCATTTTGACTGGGTTTTCTAGTGCTTTACTGGGGCACTTTGGTGAACCCAAGTAATTCGCATCAAACCACCTCGATGCGACCGCAACCTATGGTAAGATTGGCTTTTCTTCTCCATCAAAGTCGGCAAACATCCGTACAGTCTCATCCACCAATCGCCACTTCCCATCTCAAATTGAATACAGTCCAGGAGCTGCTTTCTTGAACCAAGTATTTCACGATGGGCCAGCCCATACAAAGAAGCCCAAGTCAACCATGTTGTGGTTTCGGAATCCCCAACCGACGCCAAAGCACCGCCGCCAATCATTTTGAAGTTCTGCTGATTCTCCGGCTTGTGAATGCTCCAATTCAGTGTGCGGTCAGAGTACCCGAGAGCCACATCGGATGAAAGTGGGAGGCAATACCCATACGAGCAGGGCCCGAGGACTTTGACTGACACGTTGAGATACACCCGAGAAGAGACAACCGGAAGCTGTGTTGCGCCAGGTCTTGATCCGACCTCGGGGTATCCAGACCCACCACCGGGGTCCACTTTTCGGGAGCGGAAGCGCAGCCGTCGGGGCCTGCTGGATCGGGTGTCCTTTCCGCGCTGCCGGTGGACCTCCCCAGCTTTGCAGAGCAGAAGTCGCACTCCTGAGCAGCCTGGAACAGCTTGCCGGTAGCACGACGGTCTGCAATTCGTGTCTGAGAAAGTTCAATCGTGAAAACCATGAGTTGGCTGAACCGCCCAAAGACACTGGCATGCAAGATGGAGGCGCAAAAAAGTCTGCGTGCCAGGGGATGAATCGAGCAACATCAACGCGTCAGTGCCTCCACGGCAAAGAGCTCAGTCTCCAGGTCAAAAAATTTCCAGCCGAGCTCCCCCTAGCTCCGTCCCTGGCCGGTGATACGTTTACTAGCGCCACGTCACGTCCATTACCTGCAATGGCCGGGCGATCCCTTTGCTCTAGCGCAGTGGCTGCCATTCATTCGTCACGTGCGGCCGCGCCCCCACTGCTGAGGACCTCGAAAGCCCCAAATTTCTGGCAGTGGAGCGCCTACAGCTCGGAATAACCGATGCCGGGGTTCCGGCCTTGCGGGATTCGGTCGGCTTCTATGACCGGGGGCGCGCATCATTTTTCGGGTCAAAAAATTTCGATCTCTCCTTGCCATCATCATTTCCTCGCATCCTCATCCACCTCCTCCCTCCCCCCAATTCATCCACTGTGTACTCTATAATAACCGCTTTTCCATTCCTTTCCGCGCGCCATCTTCTTTTTCCTCCATCCCCTTTTGTTATACCCACACACAATCAGGCAAGATGATGTCTGCACGCTTCTCAAGAGCTGTACGTCGGCTCCCCAGTGACACCTGTCGCGACCTATCAGAGTTTTTTGCTAACGCGCAATAGCTTCCCAGAGCTACCAGCTCCGTCGCCCGCTCAGCCGGCTTCGCTCGCCAGCCCTTTGCCTCAAAGTTTGCTCGCTACGAGTCAACATCATCTGATGGCAAGGTCACCGGCGCCGTGATCGGTATCGATCTCGGTACCACCAACTCTGCCGTCGCCATCATGGAGGGCAAGGTTCCCAAGATTATCGAGAACGCTGAGGGTGAGCAAGACCTGCATTGTATCATCTATTCGCAACCAAGCTAACAGTCATCAATAGGTGCTCGCACAACGCCGTCCGTGGTCGCCTTTGCTCAGGATGGTGAGCGTCTCGTCGGTGTCGCCGCCAAGCGCCAGGCCGTCGTCAACCCCGAGAACACCCTCTTCGCCACCAAGCGTCTCATCGGTCGCAAGTTCACCGACGCTGAGGTCCAGCGTGACATCAAGGAGGTTCCCTACAAGATCGTCCAGCACACCAACGGCGACGCCTGGGTGTCGGCTCGCGACCAGAAGTACTCTCCCTCGCAGATTGGTGGATTCGTCCTCAACAAGATGAAGGAGACTGCCGAGGCCTACCTCTCCAAGCCCGTCAAGAACGCCGTCGTCACCGTTCCTGCCTACTTCAACGACTCCCAGCGTCAGGCCACCAAGGACGCCGGTCAGATTGCCGGTCTCAACGTCCTCCGTGTCGTCAACGAGCCCACTGCCGCCGCCCTTGCCTACGGTCTTGAGAAGGAGGAGGACCGCGTTGTCGCCGTCTACGATCTTGGCGGTGGTACTTTCGATATCTCCGTCCTCGAGATCCAGAACGGCGTCTTCGAGGTCAAGTCTACCAACGGTGACACCCACTTGGGTGGTGAGGACTTTGACATCCACCTCGTCCGCCACCTCGTCCAGCAGTTTAAGAAGGACTCCAACATTGACCTGTCCAACGACCGCATGGCCATCCAGCGTATCCGTGAGGCCGCCGAGAAGGCCAAGATTGAGCTTTCTTCCTCCCTCCAGACCGACATCAACCTGCCCTTCATCACTGCCGACGCTTCCGGCCCCAAGCACATCAACCAGAAGCTCACTCGCGCTCAGCTCGAGAAGATGATGGACCCCCTCATTACCCGCACCATCGACCCCGTCCGCAAGGCCCTCAAGGACGCCAACCTTCAGGCCAAGGACATCCAGGAGGTCATCCTCGTTGGTGGTATGACTCGCATGCCCAAGGTTTCCGAGTCTGTCAAGAGCATCTTCGGCCGTGACCCCGCCAAGTCCGTCAACCCTGATGAGGCCGTCGCCATCGGTGCCGCCATCCAGGGTGCCGTTCTCTCTGGTGAGGTCAAGGACCTTCTACTCCTCGACGTTACTCCCCTCTCCCTCGGTATTGAGACCCTGGGCGGTGTCTTCACCCGTCTCATCAACCGCAACACCACCATCCCCACCAAGAAGTCCCAGACCTTCTCCACCGCTGCCGACTTCCAGACCGCTGTCGAGATCAAGGTCTACCAGGGTGAGCGTGAGCTCGTCCGTGACAACAAGCTCCTCGGCAACTTCCAGCTGGTCGGCATCCCCCCTGCCCACCGTGGTGTTCCCCAGATTGAGGTCACCTTCGACATTGACGCCGACTCCATCGTCCACGTCGGTGCCAAGGACAAGTCCACCAACAAGGACCAGTCCATCACCATTGCCTCCGGCTCCGGTCTGTCCGACTCGGAGATTGAGCAGATGGTCAACGACTCTGAGAAGTACGCCGAGGCCGACAAGGAGCGCAAGGGTGCCATTGAGGCCGCCAATCGCGCCGACTCTGTCCTGAACGACACCGAGCGCGCTCTCAACGAGTACGCCGAGAAGCTCGACAAGACCGAGGCCGACGGCATCCGTGAGAAGATTGCCTCCCTCCGCGAGTTCGTCTCCAAGAGCTTGGCTGGCGAGGGCAACGCCACTGCTGCCGAGATCAAGGAGAAGACCGACGAGCTCCAGGTCGCCTCCCTTAACCTCTTTGACAAGATGCACAAGGCCCGCGCCGAGTCTGGCGAGCAGCCCGCTCAGGACGCCAACGCCGAGAACAAGGAAGAGAAGAAGCCTTAAATGGTTTGATTCTTCGTTTCTTTTGCATCTCAGTTCTTACCGCGAGTCATATGACTCGCGTCAGCATGTTTGATTATCACTTTTGGGCGCGGCATAGACTTGCTTTGCTCAATGTTTGTATTCCACCTGTACTCATATTCCGGTCTCGGTTTCGCCTGAAGCGCACCGAGCCGGCTCTCTCTTCCTTGTTACCCCTTTTTACAACATGTTTGTTAATACCTTGCCTGCGGTCGGCGGAACCGGCGTTGGAGCATCAAAAACATTCACACACACGAGATACCGATTCGGTATTCATGATATGATCGACGGTATGGATCAAAGGGGATTAAGACGGGGTTGCATATGTACAAAACCAAACCGAATCTGGAGTAGTTAGACGTGATAATTCTACATCCCCTCTCAAAACAATCAGGACTTTACCTTCAGACCCAGTGAGACTTCCACGGCTAGTAAAGACAACTGCAGACAAGGAACGTGGTAAATGTGATGAAGGACTCTCGCCCATTAATTGACTACTTTTATCTACCAAAACCAAACCATCCTCTCTTTTGTGCCTGCGGCTTCTCGCCGCTCTGCGCCGCAGGCTCAGCCTGACTGGGAGGCGCCTTGGCAACGGGCTCCTGCGGCTCCTTGCCCGGGTAATCAATGTAGTTCCACGCCACGTCAAGGAAGATGGGCTTGACGGGGATGGCGGACAGCTTGGGCGGGACGCTGACAATGTTCTGGAGGTCGATCCCGCTGGAGGGGTACTCGCGCAGCCGCTCAATCAGGGGTAGCTTCTGGGCGTCGTCCTCGTTGGAAGCTGCCGACTCCTTGAGCAGGTTCGAGAGGTGAACGAGGGCGCGGTGGCGCTGGAGCTCGCCTTGGAGGTAGGTTGCCAGGGCCTTTGCGTCCGCGGCCGACACGTCGATGCTGCGCGGGGCATTGGGTTGCGGTTGGGAGCCCTTAGTAAGGGTCGAGGCGGCTTCCTGGGCTTCGCTGGTCGCGTGTTTGATGAGGGCCAGCGCGTTGACGGTGTTGCCGATGATGGCGTGGGAGCGGGCAATGGAGAGGGACCTGTGTTGTCAGCATAAGAACAAAAGAGACAGTGAGATCAACTCACTTCAGAGCTTGAAAGTACTCGGCAAAAGCCTCTAGCTGGTCGGCAAGCTCCTCGTCGTTGGCCACGCCGGGCAACTCCCTCGCAGCCTCGAGACTCTGCAGGGTACCTTCGTACAGAGCGACGAGTTCCTTCAGTTTTGCAGCCTTGCGTCCGGGGGTCTGTTCCTTGGCAATCTTGTCTGCCTTCTTGGACTTGCGAGTCGAGTGGTACCTCTCCACCAGGCCATCGTCATTGCCCGTCAAGACGCGGTTGCGACCGATTCGCCAACTAATCATCTCGTAGTTGACGGCGGTTCTGGTGATCTGCAGACTCTGCATGCGGGAGTCGCTCTGGGAGACGCCCTCGCCTCGCAGCTCGTCAATCGCTTCCTTGGTGGCATCGGCAGCATCCTGCGTCGCCTCGAGGATGTCGTCGTACGCGGCAGCCACATCCCTGGGGTCAGCGTCGACGAGAGACGGCCATGTCTCGGAGAGCTTTGCCTTGGCCTCCTCTGCTCTGCCCCATGCCAGAGAGATGGCAGCGTCCTCAATCTTGACGTCGCGAGAGCGCCAGGTGAGTGTCCTGGGTGCGTTCTCAGCACCCTCGCCGCCCTTGCTGGCCTCGGCGTCCACCTGCTTCAACACATTGGGATCGAGTTCGTTAATCTGCTGAACGAGGGCCGTATCGGACTGGGGGAATGCTCGCCTGGCGATGGCGGGAACGGGTATCGTGCGCGGCGTCTTGAGCTGGTATGCGGCGTAGCGGATCGAGGGATCGATGGTGTCGGAGAGGAGGTCCTTGAAGATGTCGCCCTTGGTGGTCGTTGCCATGGCGCTGTAGATGATGCGCGATACGGCGCAGCTTCGCAGGGAGGGCTCCCAGTGCTGGTTTTCGAACTGGGCGGCGCCGCGGATATGGGCGGCGTAGGCCCGGGATTCGAGCTTGTCGTTCTGTGATGCGCCAGCCTCAGGCTGAGAGAGCAGCTCGGCGAGGAGGTCGGCTGCCTTTGTTGCTTTTTGGAGCCGGGAGACTATGTGGGATCTCGTCTTGCCGGTCATGCCCTTGGCATCCGAGGCGTGCGATGCCTTAATGGCCATGGCATTGGCCCAGGCTCGCTCGCTCGTAAGAAGGAGGAGGTGGACATATCTAGGCAGTGTCAGTCAACATACCCTCGTCCTTGCACGTGGCGACATACTCATGGTTCTCGGCAATTTGCGAGACACCAACCTCACCCTTCTTGCTAAACTTTCCGCGGTTCTTGGTGGCGATGTTGAGCTTCTTGCGGCTGTTGAGCAGCTTCTTGGACAGTTGGGTCTGGTAGGTTGCGTAGTCTCCGTAGAGAAGAGCCGCATCGCGGCCAGAGACGACAAACTTTGTGATGTCCATGTCTGTGGGTTCGTCCGTTCGACGCTGGGGAGGCAGAATCGCGACAGGCCACACCAAAGGGGACGGGATGATGTCGAATCGACCTCTGCGCTGCGCGGGGGATTGGTGGGGCTCATCAGTGTCCTCTGCGCTTCAATGTGGAATTGTCAAAATTTGGGGTGTGTCACTAACCCACTAACTGCACACCTTCGGTCATTAGGTAAGCTGGGGCGGACGCCGGGTTGAAGATGTTCCCATCAACGCCGTGTCATTGGTTGAAGCTCCCCGAAAAAGTCCATGATGGCAGGTGGATTATGGACTGATACGGCGTTCTTTGAAGGCATCGTGCATACTTTCTGGCCGTCCCTTTGTTCGTGTTCGCAGATCAAGTCAGTAGACTCCTTTTACTGGGAGATCTTTAATTGCACATTCATTTAAACATCCTGCGTGAAGGCCAATCTAGCCTAGCTCAGCTCGGGCAACACCTCGGTCGGTCGACGACGTCTTCGATTTCGCGACTCCACCCAAAACTTTTTCGACATTGCGCGACAACACCAACGACACCCACGACCAGCATGTGCCCGAGTGCGTTTGATGTCCGCCATACATGATCGATACGTACCGTGTTGGTGACAGCTTCAATCCCAATGCTGGAGAGAACGGCGGCGACCCTGGAATCATGTACCAGTCTTCATGCTCTTCCATCCGCCGCGCGACAACTTAGAAGCCAGCGCAGGTTGCACACCGGCTTCTGGCAGCATGGCGCCGCAGCCATAGATATCTCGAGCTACTTGCTGGCTGCGCGTTCCCATGCTACCGAGCAGCTCGCTTATTCCGATCCACCGCCGACACTTCCCGAAACCCTCGCCGCCTCGACCTTTCTTCTCGACTTTCTCTACCCCAGCGGAACCGCCTCCTTCTTACGCAGAGCCTCTCCAGGCCTTCCTCACGATCACCTGGCGTCCATTCGACGGCTCCCACGGCGGTCCAGACCATTCACCTCTTCCACGGTTGCGACTTTTACAAAAGACTCTGACCCGCCCGAGACATTGTCAACGAACCGCGGAGACGAATCTGCTGTGCAATACCAGCGGTACGAATACCAGCAAGACGTAGATCCGGCCGAGGAACATGAGTTGAAAGAGGAAGACGAAGAAGATGACTACGACATCACCAGCTCGCACGACACGCATAGCGGTCCATCATACGCCGGCGCCGGGTCGCGGCCCCAACTGATGAGGGAGCTGATGGCCGACCAAGACACGGAGTACTTTGGGTCCATATGGCAGCTCTATTCGCAGCTGGAGCCGAGTCTGCAACCAGAGTTTCGGCCCGAGATCATAGAATACCTGTATCGGTCCGCCAACGTGATCGATGCGCGAAGGGTCGTTCTCTTGTTCCCCCAAATCGACGACAGCCAATGGACCACATTGGCCTTGACGTCGGTGGTCACGGCATATCTGCGCCTCGGACGAGAGAACGAAGCGTTGCGGCTATACCACACAGCGCTGGACGAAAAGGCCTTCGTGTGCGGTCTGGACGAGCTGCTGGGTCATTTCTTTGCAAGGGGCGATTGGGAAACCGTCAGTCAGGTTTGGGCATCGTATCACACGGTGTACCTCGCCAAAGGCATCAATTGCGGAAAGCTGACACAGCTTGCTGCAACTCCCAACCTCGGAGCCCTTGCCATGAGCTTCGCCAAGGAGGTCGAGGCGCAAGAACCAGAAGTAGCGCAGAGACTCAGAATCTTGCTCAACAAGGCGGTCAGGCGTGCGATCCAGCAGCCATGTAAGCCAAAAGAAGCCTTACCTCTGCTCAAACTCATCGAAAAGGACCAGAGCAAGTGGTTCAACATCTATCTCTCGGAAGCCATGGCACGAGGACAACAAGAGGGGTTAGCCAAGGTCTACCGTGTGTACCGGTTATTTCCCAAGGTGAGACCACACTGGAGAATTCTCCATGGCATGTTTGATATCTTTTACCCAGACAATGTCGCGGGCCTCGAGCAGGTCTACGAAGACTACCAGACCAGCTACGGGGGACTGGACCGTTGGGGTTTCAGGAAGTTCCTCAAGTACTACGCATCACGGGGCGACGTCAAGTCTCTGGAGCGTTTGTGGGACAACTATGTCGGCGCCTACCGTCACCGCCACGTCCTTCGGGAGCCGGAAACATTCAACTACGTTATCAACGCCTATGCGAACCTCCAGGACTACAAGAGCGCACGTCGATTCTTTGACGAGATGATAGACAAGCACGGCGTGATACCAAACACCGAAAGCTGGAATCAGCTTCTCAAGAGCGCCTGTGCCAACTACGACCTTGCCATGTCGGTGTTTGAAGAGCTCTGCGAGAACGTATCGCCCGACAAGTATTCTTTTGCCACCATCATGTCCACCTCTTCGACAGACGGAGACATTGCAAAGACCTTGCAACTTCTCGAGAAAGCGAAATCGCTGGGCATCGAGCCGGACGCCATCATGCTTGAGAGGGTTATCCGGGCCTACTCTTGGCATGACCGGACGAGAGCCATGTTGTCAGTTTGTCTCGATGCGCACGCCAACAACGTTCCGGGCGACCACGGCATCCTTTGGAACGCTGTTTTGCGGTCTCAAGCGCACCGCCGCAATCTGCCTGCTGTCGCTCGTGATTTGGAGGCCATGGCGAAGCAAGGCGTCAAGTGGACGCCCGAAACCCATACACAGCTGCTCCGCGCCTTGGTCCGCTGCGGGCAAACGCAAATGGCGTACAGGCTGCTGCGTTCGGCTGCTTTTGAGAAATCGTTCAAAGTGGTCCCAGACCATTTCGAGACCGTCGTGCAGGCCGCCCTGGACGACCGCCATTTGGGCCTGGCTCGCAAGGTAACGAAGCAGCTGCGACGATGCAAGACTAAGTCGGTCAAGGGTCGCATTGCGCAGGCTCGGATCATGATCAAGCAGCAGTTGTTTGCTTACAATCAAGATGAAAACCACGTTGACGGCATGGAGGAGTTGATGACATACATTCGGGATCTGGCCAACAAAGCGGACCATGAAAGGAGTGGTTCCTCAATACGGCGCGCCGATTCCTTGCACCGTCTGCGCGTCTTGCTTGATGAGGCCATCCGGCTCTTTGCTGCGTATCGCGATTACGACGCGGTCAGAGAACTCCAGCAGCTACAAAGGGACATCACCGCAGCCACGACCAACTCTGTCAACAATGAAACTCCTGTCGAGTGGCTATACTACACGATGAAGGAGGATGCATCCAACAAGAAGTACGAAGAGGCCCTGGCAAAGTGGAGACAAATACATGATAGGGTCTTGGCCATCGCTCGTCCAGCCGAATGGGGGGGTAATCGCCGAGCAGTTCTGCCGCGGCACCGTTACCGTCTTTCGAAGCCGTTTGAGACCTTTACACAGATATGTGTGGAGCTACAGAGCAGGACGCGGCTGAAGAGGGGCTTTGAGAAGCTACTTGTGTCGGGCTTCATGTTGGAGCGCCGGGCCTTTAACCTTCTGGTCCAGGGTCTCGCCCGCACGGGAGCTTGGATGGACGCCTGCAAGGTATGCGAAGAGTACCTCATGCTGAGATGGACGGGCTGGCAGCAGAACCGCATACGCGCGCAAGTCAAGAGGAATCTACCGCTAGTGACGCGTCGCGTTCAGAGCTCGTCGCAAGTGCTGCGTCCGACATCGTACACCATCATCCTCCTGTCCAAGGAATACCACGAGCTGCGACGCACAGCCATGTGGTCGGGCGAAGCGGCGCGCAGATTCAACACCTTTAAGGAGCTGTGTCCGCGCCTGGAGGATGCACTCAGGAGAATGGTGTACACGGGCGTAGGTATCGAAAAGGAGCTCTACGGGACCCAAAAGAGGTGGGTGGAGTTGCGGGCCGAAGAGGTGCTCTCGGAAATGGATGAGGGAGGCATCCTTGGCTCGCAGACGGAGCCTTTGTCTTTTACCACGGGCGGTGTCACGATTGACGGTCTGCGGACCCGGGTGTCATCGGTGATCACCCTTCCTCCCCGTCAAGGGGATCCATCATCGTCAGCGCAAGCGCCGGGGTCTTCACTGATGAGCACGAGCGGAGTGACTATCGACGGCCTGCGGACTCGGGGTTCGTCATCGGTACCTCGCGAGGAAGACATTGGCTCACAACCTGTGAAGACGTCGACGACGAAGCAGCCTGAGCATTCATCAATGACTACGGGCGGAATTACTATCGACGGCCTGCGAGCCCGGGGTTCGTCGGCAGTATCCGACTGAACCAAGGGGACGCGGTGTGTATCAACAGAGATATCTTGTACAAGACTTATTAGACCAGACATGAGTGTGTTGCTTAGAAGGCATTTAATTGCAGCGATGATTTCTTGGGGAAGTTTCATATTCCCCTCGACGGGGATAGACGATAGATGTGACAATACAACTTTTGTTTATTAGCTTTCTCTCCGGTCTAGTCTTCTTTGAAAACTGCAACAAACCACAACCCATTAATCACTCGCTATCCCGTCCTTGGAAGAATGCATGATCCCTTGGACGGTGCCCACCATGGTCTCCCCCATGCCCTCATTCAGTGCATCGCGGCTCGCAAGCCCAAGCCTACTCCTCTGCATCACAAACAGCGCGGCCGTCGGTGCGTCGAGGCTATAATCGAGATGCGGGTTAAAGATGAAGTTGCCCCCCTGGCAGATATTATCCCCCGTGTGACACACGACGAGCAACTTGGTCGGATCGACGCCGTCAATCGCTTTCCCGCCCAACGGGTCGCCAAACAACACGACGCTCGAAAGCCGCGCGCGCTGGTCGGGCGGCAGCTGCGCCACGGCGAGGCGGGCCACCTGCGAGCCCTGGGAGTAGCCGGATACCGTGAGGCGGGTGTCCGGGCAGGCGGAGATTGTGCGGGAGGCGACTTGCGCGGCGAAGGCGGCGCCCGTGGCGGAGCCGCCTGCGAAGAAGCCTGGCGGGTCGGCCGGGTACGAGTTCACGCCCTGGATTGCGATGGAGCCCGTGCCGTTCATGTAGGTGCGGAGGGCGTCG